TCCAAAATTCCAGTAGAAACCCATGCTGTTGACCTCAGGCTGGTCGTAACGTGAGGGTCCACTGTATGTGAATCTAATGACTATAACATGGAAGTAGAGGGAAAGGAACGGGGTGTGAGAGGGACAGTGAAGGGGACTGAAAAGACCAAAATACATTCTATACACGGAACCCCCCAGCGTGACTTCGTAGGACTTAAATAAATATGGATGACTTTGTCAGTTATGCTCAATAAAAAGTGGGAAAAAGAAACCCCTGTAACTGTGTGAGCTGCGGAATGCAAGCCCTTGATTTCAGATCTAGGCAAAATTTTTAAAAGACAACTGAAAAATATGTTTCTGTGTTACATTTCTCCAGTCCAATTTGACAAGTTCAATGTTGAAAAATAGAGGTGGATTAGCAGAAAAAGCGGGTGTTGTGACGATGCAGCCCCCCGAGGAGGCGGGCAAAGCACCAGCACCATATTGCTGGAAGACCGTCCTCATATGCTTCCTCACCTCGCTGTCGGGAAGTCGGGCGCAGACCCCTCTGGCAGCGTCCATCCGCGGGGCCTTCGGTGCGCGTGGGCGGCACGCGTCCAGTGCGTGATCCAGTCCGGTGCCAAACCCTGGCAGGGGCGCCCTGCTTTCCGCTCGTCACTTGACGTCAGGTAAACCCTGGGTGCACTCTCGGTCTCTGCATTCTAACAGTAGGATTCCTGAGTTGAGAATAATATTTTCAGCAGTCAGATTTTATGTTTCTACCATTTTGTTTGTGCTTTGGAATGAAAATTTCCCTTTCCTCTCGTCCTTTCTCCCCACCCCCTTTAGCACCCCTTTGCCCTCTCTGTCCTGACAGTATCTGAGACACTTTGGAGAAACTCCACCAGCCTCCCTCTCCCTCCCGCCTGTGCTCCTGCAAAGCTGCCTTTTGTTTGGATTTCGGTGGGGGCTGGAGAGCACTGGCTGAGGCAATTCACCACACACTCCCAAGCCAGAGCAGTGGGATCAGGATGGCACACATCCTGTTAGAGACAAGGCTGTGAACATGATTGTTTCTCTTCTGTGACTTCTCGGAAAGGAGCTCATTAGTCTTCAGGGACTGGGGGGATGTTTAGAGATAGTGTTCTTTCCATGACACAGAAACTAAGCAAAAAGCCAGCTCTTTGGGAGCCAGACTGAGAAATGAATAAAAATTTGTCTTGTTGCCTTTTTCACTCCTAATAGAAATGTGACTCTTTCCGGGGGCTGTGTGGCTAGGACATAGAAGAGGAAGAAGAGTGGTCCTCTCTGGCTTCCCTTCTCTGTGAGTGTTAGTTAGCTCTTCTGTCACTGGGACATAATCCATGATACCCACAATTTTAAAAAGGAGAGGTTTGATTTGACAAATGGTTGGGGGGATTCAGTCCATGGTCAGCCAGCTTCAAAGCAGAACCTTTATGGTGGAAGGGCCTGGTGGAGGAATTTGCTGACCCACAGCAGCCAGGAAGAAGAGAGAGAAGGGAGGAAGCAGAGGGGGAGATGTACACCCCAAAGGCACATGCCTGTGACCCAGAAACCAGCTTCTCTGCCCAGTCCCACCTCCTAACTGCACATTCAGCTGTGGACGCATGGATCCCTCATCCACTGATGAGTGAGACTCCCCCATGAGCCAGTCACCTTCCAGAAAGCCCAGCCTCGGGATATGCAAGACTTTGGGAGATGCTGCAGTTCTGAACTGTAACAGTGGGTGCATCATGGTAGTCTGCACTTCAGGTTAGCAGGGGAGAGAAATTCTTTCTGAAGAACTGATGTGGGGTAGGAAGCTGAGGAAAGCTGGCATTGTCTGCACACATCAGAGAGCGAGATTTCCAGGCTGAGAGAAGAGCAATGAGAGCAAGAAGATGTGGCATAGACGGAGAGCTGCTCTTTCAGATGACAGCAGTTGAAAGGTCTTATGGGCCTTCCTTTTAATCTGCAGAATAAATGTAAGTTTACCTACGGGACTCCTTCAAGCCGCTGGCAGGAGGGAACATGGGCTGTAAGGGCTGCACCCCTCTGTGGCTAGGGCGTCCTAGTGGCTAAACCAAGGGATTTCATGAGACCTTGGTGTTGCTGCTGATGTTCACAAGTCTGCCAGGTGGCCCATCAGGGAAGGGGCTGGGCATCTGTGTGACAAACGTGACCTCATTGGCAGCAGTGGCAGGGGCTCTCTGCTCCTGTCTCCCCTGATGGGTAATTTATTAGCAGAGGGCATAGCTGGCCTCCAGGTCTGCAGTGGGTTGGTGGTCCTGCCTACCACCTGTGCTCCTGCATCCAAGATCTCTGCAGTCCTGCAGACACAGGACCAGGTAGATGCCTGTGTTCCAAGCACGGCTATGTGGGAGCCAGCCATGCCTGTGAAGTTCCCCGTGTGACAGGCTCCTGCCAGGGCTCTCCACACCCTGCGTGTGAGGGGTCCCATTCCAGACGGCTGTTAATTTCTCCAGTGCCTCTCTCAGAAGCTTCTCTGGAGTCAGCTGGCCTTGCACTGTCCAGTGTGGATCATTGCCCACAGAGCATGTTGGGGAGACTCACAGATGCTCTTTCCCTGAATCCACAGACTTGCCTGTCTCGGAGGCTCATGACCGAGGCAGGAATGACAGGCCCCATTGAGCAGGGCCTCGTTAAGACTCCTTCCTTCTCTGACCGGAACATACTGTATCCAGCTGGGTACTGGAAAGCAATTTTGGAAATTAAAGTCCTGAATAAGGCTTCGTTTCATGCTCTGATCATGGGTGGCCATGGTGGCTACATGTCCTCCTGAAAAGAATTATACCATCTTTTTGAATTTTAGATGAAACAGAGGGTGCCGGTTTACTGAGCTATTATAAATTCCTCAAGACGTGATCCTGTGGCCTCATAAAAGGCTCCTATATTCAAATATTCTTTGTTGCAATCTGGCCTTTGGACAAAATGCAGCCCTGGCGACTGATGTTTATGTTTTCCATACAGGCTCTCAGAGAAAATTTACACCGGGTTTTACTGCTGTTATTTCATATAACGCAGGGAATTTTGCTGAAGAAATGAAAAGAGTAGAAACTGCATTCCTAAGTTTCTTATAAATCAATATTTGAGGTATAAAAATATCTACATAAAAGATAAAAGAATGCTTAAACACATCCAAGAAAAAATGGAAGCCTATTTAAGCATTGCTTTAACCCTAACTTGCTTCACACTTCTGAAATGCAGTCAGAACGTTAACATTTCCATGGATTTCTCCTGAACAACAGGAGAAGATAAAACCTGAATGTCTAACCCAGTATCTGGTCAGCTTCCATCTTCCAACCCCAGCCAAAGACTGACTGGTGCAGATAAGACTGCTTCCTACCGGCCATACTTCATTTTCAACCACTTCACTGACAAATTCACCGGAATTTCACGGCCACTTAGAAAAGGGAAAATGAACTAACTAAATGCTGCATTTGACTTTTCCCTAGAATCTTTATTAATGATGCCTTTGCATCAATTTGCATTTTCCGACGTAAATTGCATCAGATGATTCTTCAAAGAGTTGTTTTAGACATGCCTCTCTCTTTTGACTTTTACCCAAACCCTACCCAATTGAAATGACCATTTTTCTGATAAGCAATGTTACCAAATATCCCCCAATGAAAACCATGTATGTGTGACAAATGAATCTGTGTCTTATATGCATTTACAGGTGTATGTGCACATTTATGCAAGAGATTTTTAAGTTTGGCTTAATTTATATAATTTCATTTTTTATTTTATTTTCCACCTAACATCTTGCACACATTTTTAAAGACACTTCATTATCTTTAAGTCATGCTTTTGATGATGACTTATTATCTGTACCTCACAAGTCTGCATTGTATTTATTTAATCAGTTTCTAATGATGGATATTTAGGCTTCTTTTGAAGGCTTGTTGCTGTCATAAATGCTGACATCACTGCATATGCATCTCCTCCTGAAATCACAACTGTTCCCCTACAGTGAGTGCCCGGGTGAAGAACTGGTCTCCACTCCATAAATCACAACACGGCTCCACCGCCCACTGGTGACCCTTAAAGAAAGCTGATTTTCTAAGAGCTTTTTGGGTAGAAGGGCCATGTCAGTCCATGTGGGTGCACTGCTCTGTCTCTGAATTACAGCTTTGTGATCCTCAGGGAAGGGAAAGCTCACCATGGATAGCCGTGAATAAAGCAGAAGAAATATAAATCAGCAGGAAATCACATCTCCCGGAACTATTAAAGTGGTGAGGAATAAACACAGCTATGAGTCAGAGCTGATGGGTTAAGATTTATCTTGCCTTTCATCCTCCATCATACAGAATTGTAAAACACACCCTCCCCTTTCACTTCTTGAATGGGTGGGAGATCGGGAGACGCAGGCAGGAGCGGAGCAACTCTGCCGGTGGTAGGATTTGGAGCAGGAGAGAGGAATCCATGTTCAGCCCTGGCTGACCTGTGAGCTCCTGCTTCCCGGCAGACAGCGGCCCTTTAAAAGTCTCATTGAACTTTGCTCTCTGTGTTTCTCCATTTGACTGGAACACATCCATGTCTTCTCCTGCACTGCATGGCCCTTCCCCACACACTGCTGACCATAAAATTAACACAAAGGAATGGATCAGATGACAGCGGCAGGCATCTTCCCCTGTGCTGCATATGGATACATGTGTGCCAGCGGGTATGCTGTACAACATGGTTTATAACTTATTTCCCATTACTGACATGCTCTGAACATGTCTAGTCTGTCAAGATTGCTCCACCTGATTTATTCATTCAGTTGTCCACTATTGCCCTTTATAGCTGCACAAAATTTATATATGTAGTCTCTCATTAATTAACATTCAATAGTAGTAATTAATTAATAGTAACGGGAGATATCACTCATTATGTGTACAGCCAATAACTCTTCTGAGTTCCTTATCAGAGTATCTCATGCAGTGGTCGAAGCAGCCCCAGGGATGGACTCTGTCCCCACCCCTAGGGAAACTAACAACTTGCACAAGACCTTTCAGCCAGTAAAGGCTGCAGTCAACTTTGGGAACCTGGTTACTACACACTTGCTGCTTATTTTGTTTGCTGTTATAGATGATGTTGCAATTAATATCTTTATACTTCACTCTTGGGGCATGCTCTGTAGCATTTGTACATGAGCAATTATGAAATGCTTGCTCAGGACAGTTCTCTCATTTTAATGAAAATTATGAAGTTGTCTGCAAGCCTTCAACGAACAGACTTCCCAAGAAGACAGGACATCAAAGGATGATGGAAAGAAGTCTGAATATTCACGGTCCAAGGGCTGGCAAGCTGTGCATGCCAGGTGGGTCACTGGTAGTCTCGGCCAAAGGACAGCTCACTGTGCCTATGGTTTAGTGACAGATGCTATGCAATCACTCCAAGTCCTTTTTCCCAAAGCAGAGGAAGCATCGACACTTTCTTTTTTCCAGAAGATGGTTACTCTTCAACTACAGCATTTGCTCTTCACTGGCAGATCTGGCTCCTCTACCCCCTGCCTTTTCTTCTGTGAAACCATTGGAGAACACACTGCACCTGGCTCTTCCCTGCTGTCTCGAGGGTTGGGCTGGGCAGTGAGCTGTTTGTCAGAGGTGGTGAGTGGACACCGCTTGGTATGTGGGGCACTAGTTACTACTTCTTGGCTTTCTTATTACTTGCAGTCATGGAGATCCACAGGACGTGGATTGCATTGGTGTGTTCCTTGGCCTTTGCTTTTCTCCACACACTTCTACACCTCACACTCAGAGCTGCCCTTATTCTCCAGAGGCCAAGCATAATCTCCCAAGGAGCCCCACTCTGCACGGTTGGGGGGACCTGTTTCCATCTTCTGTACCGAGACCCCTCACCTCCTGCTATCTCTTGCTGTTTGCAACTGAGAAAATAATCCAGATAGGAACACATGCGGTCTCCTGTGGTCTTAGGGGTCACTCAGACTTTTCCATTGTTTTAGACACTAAAACCCCAGATTCTTGTTTTGAGTATCATTTTTATTTTAGAATAATTTAAAGAGAAGCAGAGGAGCTATAGAGAGGCTATCAAATGATTTCTTATACCTCTCATCCGATTTAGCATTTTATTAAAATTTTATATTGCCACGATATACTTCTGAAAACTGATAGATCAGCAGCAGTACATTACTATTAACAAAACCTGACTTTACTTGGATTTCATTAGCTTTTCCATTAAGGTCTTCTTTCTGTTCTAATCCAGGCCATGTCTGGCATTCAAAGTCCGATCTTATCTCCTCTACAGTGCAGAATTTCCTTCCACCATGCCCTTGCCAGGTTCAAAGGACGCTGTTCGGTTTTGCAGTGTGACTCTCATGCTGGATTTGGCTGATATTTTCCTCATGGTTAGATTAGAATGAGACTTTTTTTGTTTTTTGTAAGAAAGCATCAGAAAGCATGCAGCAAGTGAGTGTGGTTATCCTCACTCTCTAGGCACACTGAGATTTGAACTTCACATACTTTCCATACCACGAAGTATTCATTTTTATTTTTTCAACAATTTAAATGTGTAAAAAAAATCTTCCAGTTCACAGGATGGAAAATAGTTCCTGATTTAGCATTTTGGTGGCCATTGAAATAAAAGAATATCACTTTCATGTTTTATGATAAAAATTAATTGAACTGACACAGGGGAATTACTAACACTTAGGTGTGCTGGAAGCATATACAGTGATGAAAAAGCAGCTGCTTTATAGCTAGAAGTTAACTACCCTTATTATAATTGTTATGCTTATTTTAGAATATGGAGCATAGTATATTGCATGGTTTGAGCTCTCTCTCTCTCTCTCTCTCTCTCTCCCTTTCCTTCTTTTCTTTTTTTTCCTTCTCTTTTTGGTGTAAAGTTCTTAATTTTCACAGCTGCCTGTATCCACCATAACATGCTTGGCTCTAGGGAAAGTGGTGGAGTCAGTTTGTGTGATCAGCATAATAATGACATCACCTTTTATATTTCTGTGTGTTCTTAACTTCTGCCTTTCCCTCCAAAAGTTACGAGGTTTAGTTTGAATTTTGCCTCACGTTCGCCCTAAGGTGACCTCCCATGGAGAGGTGAGGGACAGCCAGGGACCCCTTCCTCTCTGCTGCGGGCTGCACTGTGGCAGCAGCTTATTGTCTCTCCCCTGTGGTTCTGGTTTTCACTGTGGCCCTCAGCCCTCTGATCTGGGGGTCACCACCCACACGCTGTGCCCCTCCATCCAGGCTTGGTGGGGTTTTCCTGGGATTACTGGTCTCCACCAAGCTTTCCGGGCCCAGCTTCCCCAGCACTCATGTAAACAGTGTCTTAAATGCCTCTGAAATTCTCAAGACAATTGGGACTTAGACTAGCAGGGGGAAATGGGGACAGGTAAGAAATGAAGGATACTATGGCTGCCTTGCCAAACATTTGCCACATGCCCAACAAGCCTGCCTTGACTGTGCTCCTGCTCAAGACTAGGTCAGGCCGGTCTGGACTGGACTCTGCTCCCTGGTTTAGACTTTGGGATAGTTCCTTGAATATTTGGCATTTCCCTTTCCTATCAGATAAATGTGATTTGCAATAAGACCTCCCTGGGTGGGGGCTTGTGAGGATCACAGATAGTGCTGATCAAAGTGCTTCAGTATGGAGCACTGAAAAAACACCCAGCATAGAGCTTAGTAGCAGCAACTGAGCGGGAGTGTGGCCTTCTGTGAGCTGGAAGCGGTTTGATTCTGGGATTGTCGGCACCACACTGGCGCTTGCTCCTTGGAGCAGATGATAATGGTGCAGAGCTGCTGGGCTGGGTCCCAGCACTCACCCCACAGATGCACAGCTTGACAAGAGCCAAAGCCACAGGACGCATGGGGAGCAGGGTGAGCCCAAGCCCTTCCCTCGGTGGGACGAGGATGTCAGGCTTGCTCTCAGGTCAGAAGTGACAGGAAATAAGCACATCCAGGCGCCCAGGTCCCCATACTTCTCATCTGCCTGTGTTCTCGAGTCGCCTCCGTAACACTCAACAACAGAGCAGCAAATTTTGTTTGTTTTAAATCCGGTAATGAACGTCTGTTTTGCTTACACTAATGGTTTCTCCAGGGACGGGTGTATGCATTATTAAATGCTGCTTAAGGAAAGAAAAATGTTTTGCGTTGGTTAAAAATTCTTTGATTGCAAATGATAAAAAAAAAATTCTACGCAAAATGGCTCCAGCAGAAAAGTAATTTAATGTTTCCTGTAAACAATGAGCCCAGGGGACAGGGCCAGTTTATTCAGTAGTCACAACAGACACACGTCTTGGGCCCATTACTAGGACAGGTTCATGGAGTATTTTAATGTTTTTTTTAAATCATAAGAAAATTGTAATAGTAATATTTTTATGGAAAAAGGATGCTAATGGCAAAAGTATCTGGAACGCCCAAAAGTCATACCGTAAACTGGAGGGCCAGGGCTGCCTTCAGGCTTAATTTACTATGAAATATAATCACCAAAACCCTCTGACTCCCTTCCACTCTGCTGTGGTACAGCCACAGGCCGCCCTTCCCTCTCTCCTGTCATTATTTCCCCATTCACTCCTCTATGATTCCTTAGCCTCTGTGTTTCTCCAGTAGTTCAAACCTGCGCCTGCCTCAGGTCCTTGTACCTACCCTTTCTCAGTGGGAAATGCTTTTCTTGAGATAACTCCTTAAGGAGTACTTTTATCTTCTCAGAAAGACTTTCTTTTATACAAAAAGAAAGAGACAATAAATGAGTGAGTGAAAAATGGATGCACCAACCCAGGTTGCATATCCTCAGAATGTCAGAGCCCCACAGAAAGTATAAGAATCTGTTTCCCAGAAGTCCAAAGGAAGTCTCATTTGTTCTAATTGGCTCTGTATGGGTCACATGGTCTAAACCTGAACCAACCGCGGTGGAGCCGGGAAATGATCACTGAAATTTAAGTTGCATTCCACACAGGCAGAATTAAGGGTTTCAGATGGGTAGCTCTTCAGTGTGAAGTAAGGTAAAGTTACCAGGAATAAAGTGGCATTGATATGCAGAGCAAAAGAAATGCATGTTTATTATTTTCTTGCTCTAGAATTCTTCACAGATTAGCTTTACGTTTTCATTTCACTCCACATCTTGCTATATTTTTCAAGAATTTTACCATTGAACACAGTTTTTTCCTAGGTGGAAAAGTACTGTCTGTTTAAAATGGCTTACAATGAGGAGAATGATGAAATGGTTTTATAAGTAGAACATACAGGCATATGGAAAGGACAATGCTGTGCCACAATCTGAAGGGAATGGTTACAATGAGAAGGAGAAGGGGAGCCCAAGAACCCACTTCTTGTAACTGAAGTGAGGCTGTTCTTGTGGCAAGGGGGCGCTGCACGATTGAGGTGCTGCTCTGGGGGGATCACACAGGCGTGCTGAAGCTTAAAGGAAGAGCGACCTGACACTGCCAATACCTAAATCTGACAAAACACTGACAGGCAAAATATACAAAGGATGTACACAAATCAGTGAGAAGACAAGCCCATGGCCTTACATGTGCAGACTCTCCTGCAGTGCTGGCACTGAGGACACACTGCTTTCAGCAGCCCAGATGCCTCCAGATGTGGCTCTTGGAATCAATCCAAGGAGTAGTCTGAAAAATAGCAGCATGGATAGATTTTTAAAAAAGGAAAAGTATGTTGTTGAGTGAAGAAATGTACTAAGTACACTATTTAGCTTATATATAGCAATGTTTACTTTACCAGACCACCTACCCCAAAATAAAATTACCAATACCAAAATAAAATATGTGTTAATCATGTTCAAATGCTGCATATCATGAAGGGAAATCATTGTGGAATATAGTTTAAATAGGGAATAATTTCTAGGTTGAGCCATCTGAAATCATCAGTATTTGACTTTTTAACCCACAAAAAAGACAATTTTATATAGCTCAACATAGTAAATAAAGAAAGAATCTTACACAGACAATAATAATAATAATAATATGCTGAAAGGGGAAGTGGAATTAAGTGATCCACCTGCATGTGAACTAAAAAAAGAAATAAATAAAAGTGAGTTTTTCAAACTATGTGTTTCAGACTCAGTTTCATTGTGCAGTTTCATGGACTGGGTTCCTGCTACTAGATATTGTTGTAGTGCGATCCAAGGTGGAAGAACTTACCTGCTCTCCCAGAGGCCAACCTGTGGGATACTTCACTTGACGATGATGGAGATATTTCTCCCCGTGACTTCAAACTTCCATTGTCAAGTGGTAGGTGCTGCCCAGGAGACACAGAGCTCTGCCAGAGTCCAGAAATCAGCGGAGCGCAGTGAGCTTGTTCATTTTCTGCTTCAAGGGAGGAAGCAGCTCCCCCAACTTGTCCAATGTGCATTCAGATGTGGAAGGAGCCACGGAGCTTTCCTGTCTCACAGCTCTGTCTCCTTAGAAGTCTGCTCACAGCAGGAGTGCTGGAGCCAGGCGAGGGCATCATGCAGATCTGTGACACCTGGGATCAGGACACCAGGCGAGTCACGTGGCACACACAGCCCATTCATTCAGGGTGATGGCCAGGAGACAGCGGGGCACAGTGGAGGGGATGCTGGGACAGAGCAGAGTTGGGCTGAAAATGTGACATTGTTCACCTTCTGCCAAGGTCAGCCGTAGATTCTTTATTTAAAAATTAGTAGGTTTGAGTGAATAAAGTCCAAAGTCCATAGGATGGTGACGCTTCATGCAGTTCTTTTGGTGAGTTGAAGAAACCCTTGCTATGTCTGTAAGTACAGTAGGGACAAAAAGCATTGGAAGGAAAGCAGTTGAAGGATGGGAGCGTGGTGCTTCCTCATACTCTCCTAGTCTAGTCCCTGTCCTGCTGGCACAAGACCCATCTATGGGCCATGACGGCCCCAACTTCTGTTTCTTCATCCATGAAATGGGATTTTTAATAGTATTTATTTCATTAATTTCAGTTAGCACTGGGTCTGGCATTCTGTACCTTGCCAAAATGATAACTATTTTCATGTTGAAAATATTTTTGTGGAAAACTATATTTTGTTTTCAGTAACATTCCTTTGGTTACTGGTAAGTTAAAATTACATGGTTGGGAAATAATTTATTTCCCATTTTCATTTCATTCATGATAAATTGTTTCTATAAGTCTTCACGTTTTCCCATTTTTTGCATACTTTTATCAATTCTATAGTATATTGTTATACTAGCCTTTGTTTTCCCTAGCACATGTATAGTAGTTTAAATCAACTGTAATTCTTAAGGTAAATATTGTCATTAAAAATTGTGTCTTATTCCCACTCTTTTGCTCTGAGCTTGTCTCGTGGTGTGCTTTGGGTAAGAGAGTAGGGTGATACTGACACTGGAACTTCTTAGCCTAAGCTTCCATGGACTTGTCACTTCAGTTTGTCCTCTCTTGGAATGAGTCAGTCCTGGAAAAAAATTTGGATTTGTTTCCTTGAAGATGAAGTCTTATGGAGACAGAGAGACCTGGCCTGAACCAACCTCTGTGCAGGACTCCCAGATACAAATGATTAATTGAGAGACCCCAGCCAATGCAGACAGAAGAACTGTGATGCTGAACACAGCCCAAGTATCTGACCCAAGGGCCACAGCAAGTGAGATGGTTATTACAGCCACAGTATTTACCGGTGTTGGTTACACAGTGATAGATTAAGTGATCACACACACACTTGTGTGTGCACACACAGGAGAAATTCTTCTGAGTCTGTGAATATATACTTCACATTACCACACCCCGGAGGAGAAGATTATGACTGAGGTTGAGGCAACAAATTGTGACCTCCACTTTATACATCCCCTTTTTCTTGAGTGTTTTTGCGATAAGGAAGCATCACTTTTATACATAAGAAAACAGCTTTAAAAAGGGAAAGACGATTGTTGGCTGGTTTCTAGTTGGGGAAAGACCTTTGGGCTGAAGCTAACTGCACTGTTTGATGGCACTGGGTTTTTGTGGCTCATTCTTCGGCTGAGCTTCACGTGTGGGCCATTCCGGAGTCACACCATTAGATGGGTCACTGCTGGGCACTTTCACAGTGACTGAGCCTTCCCTGCTGTCGTCTCTCACTTCCGCCTTTTACACCTTTATTTAATTTGTGGGAAATATAACTGATTGCACTTATGACAGTTTATATATTTATTTGCATTTGGGTTATCATTTATCTTCCCATATTTTGCTGATCTTTCCCCCTCTGGTTTGACCCAGAAGAACAACTTAATTTTCTTTTGTTTTTTTCCTGTGTTTGCCACTTCCTGGGTGCCCCATAAATGCTATTCAGTGGTTTTCATGGTGGAGATCTGGAATGACCCCCCAGAAGTCTCACGTTGTCAGGAGTGAGAGTCTTGGAAGTGGTGGGGTCATAGGGATGCCATACTCATTAGCAGATTGACCCACAATGAACTCACAGCTGAGCAAGCCCTTAGGAGGTGGGGCTGGTCAAGAGGTGGTCATGGGGCTGTATCTACATCCTAGCTCCTCCCATCTCTGGCTGCTTCCTGGCTGCCATGAGTTGAGCACCTTTTCCTCTGCCAGGTCCCTCTGCCATCCTGTTTCTGCCTTGCAGCCAGCTGACCATGGACCAAAACTGTGAGTCACAATAAACCTTTCCTCCTTTAATGTGTGGGTGTCAGATATTGTGTCTAGCAATGGGGAAGGATCTGAGACAGTGTCTTTCTGGGCTTATTGCTAAACTGGATTGTTAGTTACTTCAAGATCTACCTCCAGAGCTTCTGTTCTGAGCAGAAGACTGCAGGTAAGCAAATACTTTCCCTGTGGTGGTGAGACATAGATGAGAAGACGGAAGTGGGGGCAGCGCCTACAGTGTCGCTGCTGAGCGGCAGTCAGGGCTTCTCCTCAGAGGAGTCTGCCCCACCGGTCAGTCTCTTTTTCCCGGTCTCACAGTGGCCTCAGGGCATCTGATGCCAGAGTTTCCGCCTGCCTCACCTGTGGCTCAGGTCCACTCCACCTATTGCCTCTTCCTCCTGCTGCATGGGCTTCCAGCCTGGCTTCTGGGCACTGCTCTGCACTGCCTGGGCTCACACAGGAAAAGATCACTCCGCCCCCTCCACAGTGCCTGGATGTCTCTTGGCTCACAACCTCAGAAAACGAGGGTATACAGCGTCTGCAGGGGACACTCCCAGTCTTGGAACAATCACCAAAAGGTCTCTTTGTTCTCTCTTTGATGATGCTTCCTTCCAATATTTAAGGAAACTTTAACTCTTATTGGCAGAATAAATGGTCTCTTGGCGGACTGAGTGTTCTGAACTTGCTGCCTATGTCACACATGTCATGTCCTCGGTCTTCCAGGACTGTAACTTATTAATCTAAAATGCTTTATTCTCTGAAAAGATTAGCATTGCTATTTTGAACCTTGCTGTTTTTACTTAAACATGTTTCTTGAGCCACCTGCTGCAGCATCATCTCCTGTGATCTCAGCACTCTGTGAGACAGGCAGGAAGATACCGACCAAGTTTAAGGCCAACATGGGCACCTGAGGAACTTAGCGAGTTCCTGCCTCCGAATTTAAAAAGGAGGAGAGTGTGAAGGGCAACTGGGTGTGAAGGTTCTGGCTTCAATCCCTAGTACCCCTAGAAAAATTCACGAGCATTTTCCCCATGTGACAAGCACAGTATTTAATCCAGTGTGTTAGGAGTGCGCCATGACATCTTAACCAGGCTGCCATTGATGTACATTTGCGTTTGCAACCAGCATCTACAGATGCAAGCAGTGCTCAGTGAAAATCATTGCAAATGCATTTTGTAGTTTTGTGATGGGTCATTAAGGTATTGACCAGGACAGGAGGCAAATATAGACATATTGCTGAATTGCCTGTTGGTTTTCCTTCCCAGGGGCAGAGACTGTTTGCTTTAAGAAACTTGGTAGGAAAAGTTACAGGAGACAAATGGAAAGGACATATGAAGTCAGACCAAAAAACTGTGAGTACCAGGTATGCTGGTTATGTGCCACTTGTCCTCACCTGCCTCTACTTAGGATTCCTCTTTGCTCTGTTTGGTGCCCCATGGGTAAGCCCTACAGACCTTATCATTTGAAGTGTCAGCCCCACGTGGTGGCCAAAGCTGCACAGTGGGGAGGCTCCCGGAAGGTGAAAGGAAAATGACTGGGGAATTTTCCCCATTTCCTTCATGCTCCAGGAACTTGGTTCTGGCAACAGCCGAATCCTACCAGGGAGAGCTGCATCCCTGGCCTCTTCACAGCAATCCAGCAGTGCTGTTTGCTCCCCTTGGCCGTCCAGGTTCAGGTGTGGTAATAGCCTGGTGCTCGTGCCACTTCCTGCAGCCCTCAGCAATGCTTCTCGCTTCCCATAATCCTAAAATACCCCCTTCACTCAACTCTTAGCCCATAAATCTATTTGAGTGGGAGCTCGCTGCCTGCTGGGACCACTCCTGATTCAGCAGGCCAAAGAGCTCAGGCTTCATCTTGAGCACAGTGGGCAGGATGAGAAATGTCCGGGCTCAGATGCCAACGCCTGGCACCAGCTCCCTGACTCAGCTGCTGGGAGATGGATAGACGGGGCTTACAGCGTCACTCACACGGGCTGGCAAGGGGACAGTGAGAAGATGCTGGGGTGCAAGGACACTGAGCACCCCTCCAGAGCCCGGTAGTAAGGAGGCCTCCGTCATTTAATATAAAGGCATTTTATTCATTTACTTGATACTTCACTGTAATTATGTGAAGGGATTTCTGTGAACGTGCAAGGTATGATATTGTTGAAAATTTGTTAAAGGATCTTAATTCATGGAGACTTATTTAAGTGGCAACAGGACCTGACATCCTGTATCCTCCCGAATTATATTACCTCCTATGCTACAAATCTTCCACTTGGTTGAGCAGCAGTGAATTACCAGCCCGTTAGCTCCAGTTTTTAAAGCCAGAATCTTTGTAAAATAGAAGGACTATGTTGGCTTAATTTAGCAAACACATAGAAGTGGGTAGAGGAAAGTGAGAGTAGGTGTTAATAATTAGGCATTTCAGGGAATTGTAATCAGGTACTGTCAATTTTCTGAAAAGATTAGGCAGATCAGAAAGGAAATATTAAACTTCAAGGAAGCAAATTAAACTTTGCTTTTGATAGTTATTCAACTTTCACACTATTCCCTCCACTTATTACTTGAAATAGGGTTAAATGCCAGTTTCAATTACAAGGCAAGCCAAATCATAAGAGCCTCATCAAAAAATTCTCTGCTGTTACTTGGTTATATTTATATCTTACTTTTGCTTTAACAAACTGCCAAAAACTTAAGGCTTAAAAGAATAAAAATAATGAAGGGCCGGGCATGGTGGAGCACACCTGTAATCCCAGCACTTGGGAGGCTGAGGCAGGAGGATCACTGGGAGTTTGAGGCCAGCCTGGACTATGATGCAGTGAGCCCCTGTCTCAAAAGGAATATTACATTATGACTCAGGGGACCGCAATTCCAAAGAAGTCTCCAAGAGGCTGACAAGGTGTTGACAGGGCTGTGGTCCTTCTAGAGGCCCCGAGGCTGACCTGTTGATTTTCCAGAGACCAGCTGGACATTTCTGCCTGTTCCCTACCTACCTGTGTGACCCCTTCTCACATCCAGGGGCAGCAGCATATCCGTGGTCCCCAGAACGCCAGCCCGACCGGGAAGATGGCAGCTGATGTTTGGCTTCTGAACACTTTGGGCCATAGGGAGATTGAATCTTAGCTCAGAATTGTTGGTCTGCTTTCTGCATTAGAATCACACACTTTGTCTCATGCGTTTCCAATTTCTGCTGCCTGGTGCAAGGTGTTAATGCTGGGCTTAAGCGTTGTTCATGCTTTGGCCAAAAGAATCTTCTACAGATATATAAAAAAAACCCCACTCTGTCTCTTCCTCTTAGGCTTTTGCCATTCTCCATGAAAGAATTCTCACCCACAACCTCATTTCCATGCAAAATGGGAAGTCTGCAGCTGACGTATGCCCTAGACTGAAGTGTGTTAGGTAGTATCACTGCAGCAGTAGTGTAGGTACAAAGTGTGATCAAACAATACTGTGAGTGTTTGAGTGAATATTTTAAGTTTCTTACAGTTAAAGACACATTGCCATGAACCCCCCTTAAAATCTCCTATTCTGGTTAATCAGTCTTCCAAAGGTAATAGCCATTTGGGCTAGAAACATTTAATCCTGTGAGAACGTGTTTATCATCAAATCATAGACAGGTAATCTAGGACTTTCTGGCAAAGAAATGGCTGCACTTAGGTAGTGATTATGCAGGGTCTCATTGCCGTGATTTTAAAGAACACACTGAACTAACCCCAGGGCAGAGGGGCTCAGAAGTCACAACTGAGGGTTCAGTACATCCCAGAACGGAAGCATCTTTAACTCTTGGTTCCAGGGTCATGTTCTATACTCTCTGCGTCAGTCCATTTCTGCAGAGAAAATGTTAGGTTTGGACCTGATTCTGTGCATGCTGAGGCAAGGAGTCCCTGACAAAGTCCTCGGAAGGGTAAGGACACTGATGGCCTTGTAATTTCTCACCATTTGTGCTAATTTTGGGGCCCAGAGCATTCCTAGTTATGTCAGGACTGGATTCCATGCCCCTCAGTTTTTAAAGACAATTTTTCAAAGGAGTGGGATGCCTGAGACACCTGACTTCCTAACAGGCCAGAAGGCAAAGTTACTTTGCCCTGAATTTGGGAAATAGCTGTCAGACTGCACTGTGACTCAGAAAGAACCATGCTACGGGTAAAAAGGACATACTTTTTGAGTTAGATTTTAATGTTCTGAAAAAAGAAAATCAAAGGCAGGATATGAGGGGCCACTTTAAGGTTATTTGAATCTGAAAGAGCATCTTCAGAATTTGTGTCTTCACTCTCAGTGTGAATCTGAAAATCAAAGATCAGCCTGTACTGGAGAATTAGAGCGACCCGAACTATCATTCTATCCCTGGAGGAAGTAGTAATCCTTCCGACTCCACAACAGGATGTGTGTCATCTGCTGACTGCTAGTGGCTCCATGTGAGAACAGTCCAGCCTGGGTGTGCTGTGAGATCCCTTGGCAGTATGGGGCTCTGCCTTGGGAAGAGACTCATGGTGGTTTGTGTCAACCCTCTCGGGCTGAGGGCATTACCTCAAGTCTGAGGGTCGATCCCAGCCAGGTTGGGCTCTGGCAGATCTTGCCATCTGTGTGAAGGCAGTTTTAGCTCTGGTCATGTTTCTGAGGAAGCCAGGTGTCATAGAGAAGACATGGATCATCAACCTGGGTTCCCCCACATAACTGGCTGTCAGAGCGTGAGCAAGTCACATAACATTTCAGAGCCCTCTTCATCACACAGACTTTCATAATACTAGAGCTTCTTCCATGGCATTACAGAGCATTGGAATAAAGACATCTCATGGCACAGCGCTGGGATCTACCCAGAAGAGTACCACTCTAAAAAGGAATCTTGATGGGAAAATTAGAACTTGTTCCCTATATAAATAAGTGATAGGGATTAATTTTGCTTCAATTTATGCAAGTAGCTCTTCATATACTCGAGTTATATTATTTTAGAAAAAGTAGAATAATAACTATAAAAACAGTTAAAGTTAAAATGTGTAGAAGATGTTATTTTATTATTTGATAACCAGTAACACTGGCTCAAAGTACCTGTAAGAATCTGAGAGTACGTAAGCAACATTAACATATGACGTATGGGTCCCCTATGAAACCTTGTCAACATCAAGCAATGACTTACTTCAGGGGAGTTGTTCATCATGTCAGAGTGCAGTGGTGTGTGTTTCTGCATAGGACAAAGGCAAGTTCTCTGTCCTACCAATGTCATGACTTCCTGGTTGAATTCCCACATGGTATTTGGCAAGAGGATTTCATTTTTAACTAGCTTTTAGCATGAGGGCTGGTTGTTTAGCTACATTTCCACACCATAATGTTGGTTGAATGTTTTCCTTAAGGGACACCTGCGTTTCTCCAAAGAAAGTGGAGAGAGAGAGAGAGAGGGAGAGAGAGAGAGACTGACTTAGTCTAAAGGCATACATTACTACTTGTTTGTAAGAAGCATATCACTAATTCCTACTCATGCTCCAGGTAGAAGAATTAATTTATACATCGCATTTTGACAGGAGAGTTTATTTTAAAGAAGAATTTGTGGAGATATTCAGAAAGTACAAAAACAGCAATCCACAAAATATTGGTGGTTTGAAACAGTGAGGACCGATACTTTGCTCACATAGGGGTTTTGTGTGTTCTCAGAGGTTTTCTTGGAGATGTGTTTATTGTGATCCCTCAGGTGCATAGGATAAATGAAAAACCATAGCTTCACATATACAGATCTCTGTGGAAGAAGGGGAAGGAGCTGTGAAGAGTCTCCAATCAGCTGTTTTAATAGAATAAAAGTAAAAAGTAGCATGACCATCTCAGGAGATCCAGAAAAAGAGCTTGATGAAATCCAGTTTTGCTTCACTTCAAAACCATCACAGAAGTTAGGAATGGAAGGGAAACTCCTCAGTTATCTCTAAAACCCCACAGCTGTCATCAGTTCTAGTAGTAAAAGACAGGAATAATTTTTCTGAATATCAGGAATAAGACATGAATAACTGATCTCATAACTTCTATTTCATATTTCCTGAGATTTCTTGATCAGTGCAAGAAAGCTAGAAGAAGAAATAAAAGGATTCAGTTTGGAAACAAAGAAGTAAACTATTTGTATTTGAGTATAATATGATTCTATATAGAGAATATCTTATAGAATTCACTCAAAAATTGTACCCAAGAAATTAATTCAGCACACAAATTACTTCAACAGGGATAAAAAATCAACATCAAAAAATACAGCTTTAAATTCCACACACTAACACTGAATCATCCAAAAATGACTTGATAAGATATTTCTGTTTATTATATGTCCAAAAATATAATAATCAGAAATGAATTTTGAAAAAGACATGCAAGACTTGAGCACTCAAAGCTATAAAACATTCTCAAAAGAAATGAAAGATTTAAATAAGTGAGGGAAATCTACATTTGTTAAGGAAGAATTCATTATGATCCCTGTCAAAATCCCATGTGACTTTTTTGTATAGTGACACATCCACCATAAAATTTATATTATACCTCAGGGAACTCAGAATAACCACAAAAGATTGAAATGTAACAAGTCACCCTTTGGAGAACTTACACTTTTCAGTGGACATTATATTGGAGATCTGTAATAAGACACTGTGATGTTGGCATAAGATCAGACAGATAGAACCATGAAATAGAATTGAGGGTCTCAAAATACATCCTTAAATTTATACTCATTTGATATCCAACAAGGGTGCCAGAGGGTTGAATGGAGGAAAGTAATCTTTCCCACAAAAAACTCTTGACAATTATATATTCCCATGCAAATGAATAAAGATGGAACTCTTCTATGTTGGTCAGCTTTCCATACTGTGATAAAATGCCTGAGAAAACAATGTAAAAGAGGAAAGTTTGTTTTGGCTTGATATTTCAGAGGTTTCATTTCACAGTCAGCTGGCTCCATTGCTTTTAGACCTATGGTGATGTAGGAACTTCATGGTAGGAAGGCAAAGGCATGGTGGAGGAAAGCTCATTGTCTGTGGTAGCCAGAAATCTGAGACTCAGCCAGAGATGAAGGACTGGGGACAAGATACCCCAGGATACCCAAAGGCTATGCCCCTGTGAACCTTTTCCTAGTTATTCATGACTTCCCACTAATGCCATCAAATTCTGAATCCATCAGTGGATTATTCCACTGATTAAGCTAACATCCTTATAATGCAACCATTTTTCAAAAGCTTACTGCTGAACAGATGACCCTTTAGGGGGGCATTTTATATACAAACCATGAGACCTTCCTTACACCACATATAAAAATTAACTATAAATAGATCACAGACCTAAATTAAAGAGATGAAACTGTAATAAACTTCTAAGAAAGCATAAGATTGAAATTTCCTTTTAATGCATTAGGAAAAAATTTCTTAGGTAGTATGCAAAGAACATGATTCACTAATGATTTTTTAAAGAAGATAAAATTGAACTTCATCAAAATTAAAAACATTTGAATTACAAAGGACAATCCAAGAATGTGAAGAAATAACCCACAATGTCGGAGAAGATGCTTGAAAATCATATATCTGGAAAGAGACTTATCAGGAATATATAAATAAAGACCTCTTACAACTCAATAATAAAAATATATTTAATCCAACTTTAAAAAATGCATGACATATTTGAACATGTATTTCTCCAATGGAGATATGTAAATGTTCAGTGAGCACACAGAGAGATATTCAATAATCAATTCACCAGGAAAATATATATGGAAATTACATTGAGATACCTTTCACACAGAATGGGTCACGTTAGAC